GTGTGTGTGTGTGTGTGTGTGTGCAATGGAAGGAACGCAAAGGTCCAACGTTAATTTCACTTTTAGAAAAAGAATTCAAAAGCATTATTGGGTTGCCTTTTAGTCTGCCTTTGAACCTTCTGACTTGCTAATCTTCCAGTTTAGGAGTTTAGGATATGACCACAGAGTCTTTAATGGGCCTACAAGGGGAGGTATTTTTCTAACCTCTCTCTGGAATGACGACAATCCAATGACAGATTCAGGCCTCAGCTGTAAGCCACAGAGGGGGTTATTCTTAGGTCCCCTTGCCTCGGAACAGAACCTCCTGGGAAAAACAAATTCTGACCCCCTGTTCACTGGTCACAAGCGATGCGAAAGACCATTCTGACCCCTGCCCACTGTTCACAAACGAAAGCCCGAGCAGGACGCCTGTAATACTATGTACTAAACAGCACAACAAGACTTGACTAGCGAGTGTGGTTGACCCGCCCACTAACCTCCTGAGCTCCAAATGGGGGAAACAAATCAGCGGTCCCTAATCCTTATTTTGTAGGTGACCGTAGTACAGTGTTCACCAACTATACAAGTTGAACAAGCGATGTATCGGAAGGGGGGGGGGGGGCTTAGGATTTTTAAAGGATCACAATATATTGCAAACACGAGCAGTCCAAAAAAGAAGAGATTTTAGCAGTTATTAACTTATAACTAAGAAACAGCCCAGTTCACAGGACACATAAAATAATATGTCCAGATCACTCCTGGAATGCAAGAATACGCTTAAAGGTCTGCTTAAAAATGAAGGAGGCTTGGGTGATTTTAATGTAATGCCACAAACATACACTAATCCAGAGACCGTGGTATTTTAGTATTTATAATCATTTCACTAATCTAGGCTATAGTATATTTTTAGCTTTCTTGAAGACAACATTAGGCGTGTATTATAACGGCTTTCTCTTGATACATCTAGACTTTTCTAGGACGGAGGTTTATACACAGTATAGAGAATTAGTCACTTACCCAGCCAGTACAGTATCGAGGTCCAGGCTAGTGGTGGCTATCCAAAAACGAGTGAAGAACACAATACACTCCCACAAGCTCCCACACACTTCACTTCACGGTAGGTTGGTCACGCTGGCTGGCTCACAACAAAATTGTGCCTGTTAGTGTTACTGCTTGGTGCGAGGCGGAGCAGTTCTTCGGTTTGTGTCGAGAACGGGCAGGCCGGTCTATGGAAAGTGATATTGTCACTGTTTGTGAATTTGTAAGTAAGAAATCCGCCTTGATACGGTGGCCGGTACCATGAGTTAAAACAAAACAAAACAACAACAACAACAACATCAACAACAACATCAACAACAACAACAACAACAACAACAACAACAACAACAACAACAACAACAACAATAGCAACAACAAAAGGGTCCAGTTATAGTGTAGTCGTGCGAAAACGAAAAATTATGACGGATAAGAAAAGTGTTGCTTTGTTTTGCTCTTTTTTAACAGTGTGACGGTACATCAGTACTGAAAATGAATAACAGCGTCTATAAGTTTAGACCTATCCTGCTGTGTGTTCCTCCCGGGCGGTGCAACTGACTGAAATGTCTTTAGGCCATTCCCAAAGGGGGGGGATTAACCTGTTCTTATGCACAGAAGAATTGTAAGGGCTGATACTTCTATTTCATATAGAGTAACATGTGTGCCATATGGCACACTGATCCCACAAAAGGTCATTCCCAAAAGAAGAGGGGGGGGGGGGGGGCATTAATTAACCATGTTCTTATATGAACTGTAAAATATGAGCTGATTCATCAATGTCGTGCTCGTGCCTGAACTGCAACCGGACACTGCTGTAATCCTTACTATCGTCATTTTCCACTACTTCTTTTGTATGTTTGTCACACTCTTGTGACTCGTTATTTCCAGGGTGCCTTGATTGTCCAAGTGAGACTTTGTGCTGTTGAAGCTAGAGAGGTGAGCAGAGTAAGCCTGATTCCCTGTAGGCCCTCGTCCTCTGCGGTTTTTTGTCACTTGCAGGCCAGGCTCACAGGCAAATGAGCTTGTTTTCGTCAGTCACTGACTTCCTTTGCCTGACTAGGCTTACGTGATTTTCCTTCAAGCTCGCTTTTTCGTCAGCCGTACAGATGACTAAGAAAGCCTCGATTCGACTAATTTTGGAAGGAAATTTGCATCTTTCAGTACATGTACATTTTTGTTTCTTCATTGCACTTTACATGTTCAATAAAATTGTATCTCATTTATAATAACTTGTACAATAGTAGATTTGTGCTGAAACCCCCCCCCCCCCCCAAAAAAAATGAAATTAAAGCACTTCTAGATTATTTCGTTCTCGGGAGAGCTAAAAAATTAGACCTAGCCAAAGACGTGTCTCGATCTGTTCTCTAATGTTTCGTGCTTTCTATTTTCCGCCAATTTTGTGTTTCCTTCAGACCTTATATCTATCTCCCGATCAAATACCCACCGCTTCATCGATAACCCCCCCCCCCCCATGTTTCCGACTGTCTCACTGTCTTCGTTGTAGAAAAACTACATCATGATCTATTTTGCTTTTTTCCTTTCCTGCAAGGAGATTAAGCTCCTTGCTTTCCTGAAACAGTGCTGTAAATATGAAGATTAATTTACCCTTAGCTGATGAAAGTTATGATGGCCGAATGGACAGCGGGTATGTGTTTGAAGACAAACCATTATTTTGTAAACGTGGGTTCGAATCCCGGTCCCGGAAAGTGTTTTTTGTTGTTGTTGGGTTTTTTTCTTCTTCTCATCCTCCCAATTAACTGACCAACAATTTTTCCCATAATTATAATTTGTTGCTTTTTAGTTTTTTAAGTGGTGATGTAGCAGGCACATTCTGGTTTTGTCCTAGTTTTTACCTACAAAGTTTACTTTTCTTTTTACCTAGGCCTGGTCAAAGTTCATAGTGGCTTTCCTTGGTCTGTGAGTCTGTCATTTTTTTTTTAAGCTCTGAGAGGCCACATTTTTAGCTCTTCAATTGCAAATTTTCTTCAGCGTCCGTGGCCCCCAGTTTATAGATCTACACACCAGAAACAAGTCTGAAAATGTAAATATATAAATATAAATAAATCGCCTGTGCTGTCTGTTATTCTCGTAATCATAACACATGGGCTAAAATTAAATGGTTTAGCTGGTCTGACGTCGGTGGACGTGGATCTTTTTGAGTCGGTTCTACACAATGCAAAAACTACGTAAACATGTATTTAGCCTGGCATGGATCAAGTGATCGTATTTTGGTGGACGCGTAGACGAAAGGACTTCTCCGCTGACGTCCACCACTTGGCGCTCAAGACTTTAATACTACGTACAGTTGCGAGCGCCGCAAAACCTATACTAAAAAGAAGACCAAAAAAGTTATAGTGTATGTATCATGTACTTGCGTGTACAAGAGCCTGTGAACGCCTGCCCTGAAATGAATGTTTTTTTAACTTCCTTATTTAAATATATACCGTTAGTATGTAATTTATTATCAGTATCCCACACAGCTCATTTCACTTGAAAATGAAAACAAAAAAATTATCATCAGACAGACAGACAGACAGACAGACAGACAAGGCTGACAGACAGACAGACAGACAGACAGACAGACAGACAGACAGACAGACAGACAGAC